ATTATCCCAGGTCTCAAGTGTTGGGACCCTTAAATCATTATCTCAGGTCTCAAGTGTTGTGACCCTTAAATCACTATCCCAGGACTCAAGTTTTGGTATTCTTAAATCATTATCCCAGGACTCAAGTGTTGGGACCTTTAATCCACTATCCCAGTACCACCTCCAGAACTCGTGTAAAACTCTCCAAACCCTAAAATTTCTGTTCCTCTTAAATCCAACGGAAACTGCACTGCAACTTGTTAAAACATTCGAATTCCATTTTTGGCACGAAAACAGAACTAGAATAATGTCCAAAAATTTCATGGCAAAGCTGAAAAACAATGATAATTTTGCTAGGTAGATTTTGTATAGAACTCACAACTGATCGAGAAAAAATATTTATGCAATGGATGTGATCGGTTATCAAATTGCTAAACATCTCCATTTGCAAAAAAAATACGAATATGCAGAACAATTTTTAAAAATATTTTTTTGAAGCATAAATTTCAAAAACTCTCCTAATTTTTAATACTACTTTTCCTATTTTTTGAAATTAAAAAGAAGAAGTAGAAAAATAGTTAAAACTAAAATTTTTTCTTTGTAATTATGCGGTAGACTTAGTTTTTAAATTTTGCAAAGGTATCAGTCCTATCATAAACTGAACGAAAAACAACTAAATTCTTAATGGTTACTATGTCTTATTTAAACGAGAACGTTGAAAGTGTTTTACAGTCAAACCTACTATAACTCAGCCTACATAAAATAAAACAAAGCAGTTGAGCAAAAATGAAGGCATGACTTGGGTGGTTTGCAAGTTAATTTTGTGTCAAAATATCTTGCGTTGGAAACATATATTGTGTCAAAATATATTTTGTGAGAAAAGTGAGTCAATCCCAAATCTTGCGGTTGTAAATGAATTTTTTTCATAAACCGAACGTCAATTCTGAATTTAATAAAATGGTTTCATTGCATTTTCTTATTCAATTGAGACTATCAATTGATGTTTCAGCTTTCTGTTCTGCGTTTTCTCTGTTGAAGGATGATAATTTGGTTTTTCAATTAATTATTTTCCTGCAAATTCTAAGCTTCTAAGCTAAACTATCATTACCAGTCCAAACTGTGCATTCTGTGCATTGTAAGCGGATTCAGCAACCGGCCCGAATCAGATTTGTTGCGGAATCCGCAACATTGCTACATTTTTTTGATCTTCTTGGCTTTTTTGGATTCCACAAACAAACACCTAAGACACGGAATCCGCAAACTGTAAAAGGAATCCGCAATTTGTAAGTGGAATCCGCAAATTGTAAGTGGAACCCGGAAATTGTAAGTGGAGTTTGCATATTGCTTGCGGATTCCGCGTACATATATGCATGTGTAGTAGCGTTTAAAGTTTTCTTTTTAGCTGTTTTGGGTTCCACAAACATTACCTAAAACACTGTACAATTCTTCAAAAATATGCGAACTTGCGGTACCCGCAACCAAATTTGCGGAATCCAGAACAGATTGTGGAATCCCCCAACAAATAATGAAGCATGCGTATAGTTAAATTGAGCTGTTGCGGAATCCGCAAATTGTAAGTGGAATCCGCATTTTGTTTGCGGATTCCGTTTACGTATGTGCATGTGTTGTAGCGTTTAAAAATATATCTTTTAAAAACTACTTTGATCAGCTACCATTTGGAATGCCAAACGTTCGATCTCAATGCCTGGCAAACGCCCAACTTCGATCTCAAATCCTGTCGAAGATACCCAAAAAACATTCTAGTAATTAGGTTTTAGCGAAAAAAAATTTGTTTTGATAATGAATTTTTTTTTTGATAATAGATCTCATCATCTGCCCATAAAAAAAACTCTGAAAAACTTTGAGCAAGATCCAACGGTTACATGAGACGGGACAGTTCCTTGAAAATAAGACATTCAGAGCTCTAATTTTGTTTATCAATGGCGAGTTAGCTATTCAGAAAGATTTGAATAGCTAACCCATGATTTCACTCTGTCATCTCATCCTAAATACTATCATCATGTTTTGAACGCACGCTACCAAATACTGAATCTCAAACACAAAATTCCATTTACTGAATCTCAAAAAATGAATCCAAAATACTGACCTAATTCGGCAAATTGGGACCCTTAAATCATTATCCCAGGTCTCAACTGTTGGGACCCTCAAATCACTATCCCAGGACTCAAGTTTTGGGACCCTTAAATCATTATCCCAGGTCTCAAGTGTTGGGACCCTGAAATCACTATCCCAAGACTCAAGTGTTGGAACCCTTAAATCACTATCGCAGGATTCAAGTTTTGGGACCCTTAAATCATTATCCCAGGTCTCAAGTGTTGGGACCCTTAAATCATTATCTCAGGTCTCAAGTGTTGAGAGCCTTAAATCACTGTCCCAGGACTCAAGTTTTGGGACCCTTAAATCATTATCTCAGGTCTCAAGATAATGACTCGCCGACTTGGTATAATGGTAGGCATATGGAGCCTTCAAGCAGGTAGCGCCTCAATCTCCATGCCTGAAGCAGGTAGCGCCTGAAGCAGGTAGCGTCAAAATGTGCGCCTCAATCTTCACAGATTGTGAAAATATCGAATTTCAAACAATTTATTTCGAGCATTTTATCGGTAAAATAACTCGGTAACAATGATATTTTTTAACAAACTTTATCATCGGTCACATCGGCAACATCGGCCACAAAAACACTGCATAACTCAAAGCAAGCTGCAAAAATGGCCAGTATTTGTCCTTGAGACAAATTGTTTTTTTTTAAAGGTCAGCCTTAATCAAGGTTGAACAAAATTAGGGCGAAAAGACGGTTAAAATAGGTTTTGGGGGGATCGAACCTGGTTACGGAGCATCCCATCAAGTTCGGGGCATATTTGAGTGCTAGAAAGGAAATGACCTAGGCGGGATTCGAACCGGCGCCAAACCCGCCGGGACGCACCATGTATACGCTTGGCTACTGTCCCTATATGCATTTACATTTTGGTTCAATTTTATACTCTCACACGTTTGCGTTTATATTCTCACACGTTTGTATTTGCGCTCTCGCACGTTTGCGTTTATATTTGCGCTGCAACATCCTCCACCCCTAAACAAGGAAGAACGGGAGCGAGCTTTACGGTCGGGTGGGTCAGTTCGCTCGTAACGGTTTTTATGTCGGCGGATCTCGCGCATCCGTACTTGCCATAGTGCAGTCTTAGAATACGTGCGAGTGGATAATGTCCACGTGGAGTGTCAGGCTCTATGACCCAAACCAAGTCGCCGGCTTTCAACTTAACATCTGACTGGTTGTGCCACTTTGCCCTCCTATTGAGGAAAGGAACGTATTCCCGCATCCACCGTGTCAATATTGCGTTAGCGTATGATTGCGCTCTGGCGAACCGCTTCTTATGGTCGAAGTTTTCTTCGAAACCTAGCGACGGAAAACTCGCTGCGAGTTGACCAAGGATGAAATGATTCGGGGTCAACGCCTCTAGATCTAGCGGATCGGAACTAACGGCTGTTATTGGTCTAGCGTTAAGTGATTGCTCAACAAGGCACAGCGTGGTTCCTAGAACCTCCTCAGTTACTCTCCTGTTGCCTAGAATGTCATACAAAACGCGCTTGACACTCCGAACTAATCGCTCCCAGGAGCCAACATGGTGCGGTGCGCTGGGTGGATTGAATTTCCACTTGATCCCTTTCTGAAGAAAAACAGCGGGTGCGAGCTTGTTCCAACTCTCAACGCAAGCTAAGAGCTCTTTCTGAGCGCCAACAAAGTTCGTTCCGTTGTCGGACATGATGGTCGTCGGAGTACCGCGACGTGCAATAAACCTCTCCACGCCCATCACACAAGAGCTTGTGTCGAGCGAGGGGACCACTTCAATGTGCACCTCTCTAGTGGTGAGACAGGTGAACAAAAAACACCACCTTTTTTCCGTACTTCTCCGGATTGGAACCAGGAACGGTCCAAAGCAGTCGACAGCTGTGTTAGAGAAAGGAGATTGCTGGTAACCCAGCCTTTCAATGGGCAGATCAGCCATCATATGAGTTACGGTTTGCGCTTTGCGTTTTCGGCACACAACGCAAGTATTTTCAATGTTTCGCAGCAACCATCGCAAATTTAACACAACTTATTTCAAATTAACCACCGCACGCATATAATCCAAGCTTTGATGGAAATTCCTAACGTGCAAGTGTTTAACCAATAACCGAACAACCGCGTGACGTGCATCAAGCATAATCTGATGCTTGCTATCGAAATCGGAGTTAACCAAGCGGCTGATGCGCCCAGTCGAGCGAAGGATGCCAGCTGGTCCAATGAACGGCGAATACTTGGCGATCCGACTCTTCTTCGTGATAACTTTACCGGATCTTAGTAGTTTTAGCTCACTAGGGATTGTTTCACCCTTGGACAGGTAAATGAGCTTCTGTTCAGCAATATCCATTTCACATGGGTCTGTAATTTCTAATTCACTCAACCGAAAATGTTTATGGGATGGCAGCCATCTTAACAAAAATGCTACTGCGCGTTTGTATTTTACAATTGAATTGAATCTCTCCCATTTTCCGAAGGGAAGATTTTTTTCTGTCAAAAGATCGACGACGAAATTTGACGAATTTTCCAGACAAATGTCGATATCACATGATGGTCCTTTGAGTCTTATTTTATCAATAACTCTTGTATCGGGCTTGAACGGCCAATCAGTTGTTCTCAGTATACTAGGGCCATTAACCCAGCTGCTTTCCTTGAGGGCTTCCGAAGAAATCCCCCGTGTACCGGTATCAGCTGGGTTATCACCGCTAAGTATGTGATGCCACTGATCAGTGGTGGTAGACTCCAGAATCTCACCAGTGCGATTAACAACAAAAACGGCTAGTTTACAACAAGAGTGAAGCCACTGAAGAACAGTGGGACCTTTCAAAATTTCTTCTTTTAAGCGGGTTGCAAGAAGAGCCGCTTGAAGCTTCAACTTTGGAATAGCAAGCGCTTTCATAGGCGCGACGCGGGCTTTTCCAAACACAAAGGCTAATTCGGTCTGATGGGAGCTAGCAAGTCGCGCACGAAGGAAAGCGACGGCACAGAAAACATCCTGCGAACTATCACCGAACATGTGAAGTTCTATTCGGTCGAAAGGTTCAGTGAAATAGCTGCGAGGTATTGTCAGAGAACCTAACAAATGAAGACCTGAGTGCCACTCAAGGAATTGCTTTTTGATTTCCTCTGGCAGATCATCGTCCCATTTTTGACCACTGATTCGCCAGAAATCTTTTAATAGAAGGCGAGCCTTCACGGTATACGGAGCCACTAACCCAATTGGATCAAAAACAGAGGAAACAAAACTCAACACGGTACGCTGAGTGATTGCTTTCTCTAGTGGACGATCAACCCCTCTACTAACAACTAAGGTATCTTTTACGTGATCCCACTTAAGACCGAGAACATGCGACTGGTCTGGACTCGCACAAATATTTTTAACAGAGGAATTGGACTCACGGTTGTCCGGATCAAGAGCGGTTGTTACGTCGGGCACGTTGCTGACAAATTTTGTCAGACGAAACCCACCTAGTTTAAGCAACGAGATTAAATCCCTACCTAATTTCAGGGCGTCATCCCTGTTTTGAAAAGAATCCAGATAATCATTCATGATTGTTGTGGGGTCCTCCCGCCACAAAAAACGAAGAGAAGGTTGATTTTCTTCACGGACTCCAACCTGTAAAAACATCCCTTCAATGTCAGCTGAAACGGCGTATTTATGCTGACGGAATCTTAAAAGTACAAAAATGAGGTTTTGAAGGAGATCCGGGCCAACCAACAGAGATTTGTTCAAGGAAGCGCAATGACACTTCGATGCCCCATTGAGGACTCGGCGCACCTTACCGGGTTTATTCGGGTTCAACACCGGGTGATGCGGGAGATACCACTCACGATCGGCTCGTGATTTCGGATCGTGTGCCTTAACGGTTATGACATATCCTTTTTGTATATCTTCTCTAATTGTCTCGGTGTATTTTTCACGGAGCGACGGATCCTTATCTAGCCTCTTTTCCAAAGACTTTAATTGAGCTAAGGAGGAAAAATAGTTATTCGGTAAACTATTTTCCTTATCGTTCCAAAGCATTGGTACAATGTACCTCTCACCATCGTGAAAGGTGTCATTTTTCAAAACGGATAAAGCGCGTTTGTCGGCGGCGGAACGGGCATCTACCTGCTTGAAGGCTCCATGTGACTCCAACTCATACCAAGTTTTAATTTGGTCTGCAAGAGATGTGTCTTCGACAACACACTCAAAGCAAGACGAGTTTGACTTAAAGGACGGCGGTAACGGACCACTTAAAACCCAACCTATCGGAAGGCGTACGGCGCACGGTGAAATGGAGTCCTCCCCCAGAAGGTACTCAACGGGTCTTATTGCATGGTAGAAATCCTGTCCAATAATTATTTCGACGTCCTCAGACTTCTAATGTATAGGTTTGATCGGAGCCAACTGCGGGTAATTTTCCTGTAATTCAGGAATGCTTATGCTATCCGATCCAATACGAATATGATCCTTAACATAAGCTCGAAAAGAAAACGAAAATTCACCATTATTCGTTTCGGCGGAAACTTGAAAACTTATTTGATGAGTTTTCATCACGCTCGTGGAATTGAATCCATTTATGGTGAGGTTAACGGGAGTTCCAACCAAATGGAGACGTTTTACGAGATCGGCGGATACCCATGAGTGCATGGAAGCACTATCGCAAAGAGCTAGGGCATTAGTAATCTTCGCGTCCGAAGAGACGGCGAGTGATGCAACTGGCAGGAGGCCTTTAGTTGACTCCTGGCTATGAATATCGCCGACGGCAGCGTTAGTCGATACGCGTTTAGTGTTTGCGTTACCTGACGCCGGGGAACTTTTAGTATCCTTAGGAGGAAAAATTTTCTCCGCTCCATGTAAGAGCACGTTGTGCGTGCTTTCACAATCTGGCTTGGGGCACTTTCTGGCCTTGCTACAATTACGAAAACTGTGATTGCTCTGTAAACACGCAAAGCAAAGTTTTTGTTCAGCTACATGTTTCGCTCGCTGCGTAGCGTTTTTCTCTTTGAATACGGCGCAATTTCAAAGAGCGTGTTGACCTTTACATACAAAACATGTAGGGAATTTTGGTTTTTCGTTATAGTCTTATCACTCACCTTTACATTACTAGCTAACACTTTCGTACCTACCTTTTGCTTCACTGGTTCTTCAGACTTAACCTTAGAATTAAAAACTTTTTTTGCCTCTCATGACCCTCCGCCTTTTCTTTAAGCCATTCGTTGAAATCTAGCAGAGTTGGTTGATGCCACTGGCGTCTTAAGGTTTGGCGGAAGCTTACTCACTGCCTGATTCAGTAAGTTAACACTTTTCAGGTCATCGTTAAAAGATAGAGACTAGAATACGGCAACAAGTCCAGAAATTGTAGAGGAAAAGCCAATAACATTTTCCGAGTTATGCATTTTCAGCGGCGGAAAATTACTCAATTTATCTAGATGAGCCCCTACTACAGCATGCGGCTGCCCGAACTTTCTTTGAAGAGTTGCTAATGCGTCTTTATATAGTACTCCGCTATAGCTATACTCAGCGATTGCGGATTTTGCTTTACCCACTACGAGCGTTTTCAGATAGGTAAGTTTTTCATCGTCACTGAGTAAGGCTAAATCGACCGTTGATATGAACTACCCAAACCACTCATGCCAATTAAGTGGGTTGCCATCGAACTGGGTCAGCTTCCACTCAGGGAGATGGTCTTTTCGGCTGTGCATGAGTATATTAACCAACTCTCGTGTGGAAAGTGGACGCTCGACGTCTGCACCAGGTGAATTACCGGGAGTTGGCGCTGTGTAACTCGAAGAATTACCGTGACAATCAGGAACGAACGGTTGGTTAGCATGTGAAGAATTTTCAGGCTGTGCAAAGAACACAGTCCCTCCACTTGTATAAGGAAGAAAATTATTCTGAGGAACAATCGGAGTTACTGCGGAAAAAACAGTTGTCGAAGGAACGTAGTGCTGTTGAGTTGACATTAAAGGGGCAGCAACAGCTGGTCGCCACAAAATACTATAAGGATTATAGTGGTCACTTGAAAAGTTATAACTACTAACGGGAACACCCATATGTTGCTGTGATGGGATTACAGGTGCTTGGTGGCCAGCTACTACTGATCCTGTAGTTTGATGACTTAAAGAAACCTGATTAATTGCTGTTGATGCAGGAACGAACGGTGCTACACCAGAAGGAACTTCTGCAGATGTTGGTGGAGCAAAATAGTTTTCAGAAGATACCGGGACTACTGAACCTGTGTTTGGATTGCCTAGCGCCGGATGAGTGGGCAGAAAAGTTTGCTGAAGCAAATTATTAGAAACAGGTTGAATGACCTGCTGTAACCCTACTGGATTGTTAACGGAAACCTGCGATCGGACCAAATTCGACAAATTAAGTTGTTGTCCGTGAATGTGGTTACTGTAATACAATCCCGGATCACTAGAAGCTGCCTGGCCACTATTAACTCCTGTAATACTTGATGAGACCAAGTAATTTGTTGATGCAGGATAACTTGCCTCAGGAGCTGTTGAACGAATGTGCTACACTTGATTGGAACTACAACAGCATCAGGCTGATTGTGGTCGACAAATTCAACCCAGTGACGCGTACGATCCTTTTCGTCTATTGTTAGTTGTGGAGAGATTCGAGTTAAACCACTTTCTTCAGCATTCTCGCTGATTTCCGACAACTCATCTTCTAACTCAAGCCCTTTCAACTCAATTTCTGCCAGTTTTTTCCGGTGTTCTTCAGCCAATTCTTCCAACTCTAATCTGCTTTGTTGTTCTTTCAGTCTTAATGATCCCTTTGCCTGCCTCTCAAGTTCCTCTTGTTGTTTCTTTAAAATCACTTAATCGCGCTTTTTCTCAGAAAGTGTTTTCGACGGAGCGGCGGTATAACTAGATTTCTGAGAATCCGATTGCTGATGTCGGCTGCTTCGATGAGACAACTTAGAGCGGGTATCTGTTTTATGCGACTGGGGTTTTCCACTTTTTTCAGAATGATGAGAAACTTTTGAGCTGCTATCTATTTTGTCCGGCTCTGTTACTGCCTCAAAACTTTTTTATATGTGATAGCTTCCTGCAAAACTTTATTGTTGCTTTGAGTCAACTTATGAAGCCACATATCCTGTGCCGGTCTCAATTCGTCGGGGTTGGCACTTTTTGCAGCCATATCAATCAACTCCTTTTTACCTCGACCGCTTGTTCTATGTAGTTCCTACATATTTCAATATAGGTATCAATTTTTGAGCAACGATTCTGACTCTCTATGTATTCTAAAATTATTTCATGGCATTTATAAAGTTCGTTTTCGAGATTGCTACGTTTCTCAAACAACTTCTTAATTTTCTTCTGAAACTTAACTTCCATGCTTGATAATTTCAGAAATAAACAACTCTCAGAAAATACTTTATTTTCACTCAAGTAAATCCACAAAATACTTTTACCTGGCGTTAATGTTAAAGCTTAAACCGGGCTTAGTGAAACAAGTCTCTTTCACGCGCTTTTGAGACGGCGCGGATAGTATACGGGGCGCGTTGTCAAGAGAGCTAGCTCCTAGATTGAATACCATATACTTAAGAGACCTATGCGACGGCTACGTTACGCTTAAGTACCAACGGGGTGGGAAATTAAGTAGGTCGGTTGAACTCCAACAACGCACACGGAGTAAACCTGAGGATGAAAGAATTCAACTTAACTCACTTAATATCACCGTACCTGGCCACTTAACGTTAGTGTCGCGCAACGAAGTCAATAATCGGACGGGCTGAAACGGCTTAGATTTACTTGAAGCGAACTGGCTTTCAGTTTCACCAATGGTGGGTGGGGATCAGGCAAATTGGTTAAGTTCCAACAACACACGCGGAAAAAACCTGAGGATGAAAAAACTCAACTTAATTTGCCTGATATGTCGCTACCAGACCACTTACCATAAGGTTGGTGTCATGTTACAGCACAGTTTCGCAGAATTATGGGGACGTTTTGAGGAATTTTGGCAATTTTTTACTTTTTTCCCAAAATTTTTCGGAAAATTTTGGTCAGCAGGTTCGAGTCATTAACCAATCCAAAAAACTAGTCTAGTACCTCTTATCTATAATCCGTTTTTTTGGCTTTTCAATCCGTTCACAATTACCCAAAAATTTGTTTTTTTGGGAAAAATTACCCCTTGTAGCTTGCTTTGAGTTGGGATACAAAATAAGACATCGTATGTAATTTTATTGCACAAAAATTTTTTTTAAAAACTAGACAAGTCTTACAGTTTTTGATGGTTTTGGAGATTGAGGGGTCACCGGTTTCGGGTTGTCAAGCCTTCGGTCAGTCGCAGAGGGATTGTTCAGCAATCACTACTCTAACTTACACAAAACGTCTGCAGTTGACTTGTTGTTGAGAGTGGGCAAGATAGTGGACGTCAAACAGCACCCGGATGCAGACTCGCTCTTCGTGGAGACTGTGGACTTCGGACCAAGTGGAGCTGAAGGTGAAGAGGGAGAGAGGAGGACGACAATTGTGAGTGGACTTGTAGGAAGAGTCTCGATCGAACAGCTACAAATTCTTCTGGCCGTGTTTGTATGCAATCTGAAACCAGTGAAAATGCGAGGCATCGAACCGCAGGGAATGCTGCTGTGTGCAGTGAATGAGAACGGAACAGAGCCAGTGCCAGCACCTCCCAATGCACTTCCAGGGGACCCAGTATTGATATCGTGTCCCTTGTGTCGACTTCGTGCTCTTCGGTCCCTCGTGTTGGAATGCTGAATCGGGACCCTTGTGTCGCCTTGGTCGTGTGTAGGTTTCGAAAAGATGAGTTTCGTATCTGCCAAGTTAAACGAAGGAAAAAAGGGAGGGCAAAGAATGAGAGATCAAAAAATATCCCTCTGTGGGCGCCAAAATGTGCGCCTCAATCTCCACGGATTGTGAAAATATCGAATTTCAAACAATTTAATTCGAGCATTTTATCGGTAAAATAACTCGGTAACAATGATATTTTTTAACAAACTTTATCATCGGTCACATCGGCAACATCGGCCCCAAAAACACTGCATAACTCAAAGCAGGCTGCAAAAATGGCCCATATTTGTCCTTGAGACAAATTGTTCTTTTTAAAGGTCAGTCTTAATCAAGGCTGAACCAAATTAGAGCGAAAAGACGGTTAAAATAGGTTTTGGGGGGATCTAACCTGGTTACGGAGCACCCCATCAAGTTCGGGGCATATTTGAGTGCTAGAAAGGAAATGACCTAGGCGGGATTCGAACCGGCGCCGAACCCGCCGGGACGCACCATGTATACGCTTGGCTACTGTCCCTATATGCATTTACATTTTGGTTAAATTTTATACTCTCACACGTTTGCGTTTATATTCTCACACGTTTGTATTTGCGCTCTCACACGTTTGCGTTTATATTTGCGCTGCAACATCCTCCACCCTTAAACAAGGAAGAACGGGAGCGAGCTTTACGGTCGGGCGGGTCAGTTCGCTCGTAACGGTTTTTATGTCGGCGGATCTCGCGCATCCGTGCTTGCCATAGTGCAGTCTTAGAATACGTGCGAGTGGATAATGTCCACGTGGAGTGTCAGGCTCTATGACCCAAACCAAGTCGCCGGCTTTCAACTTAACATCTGACTGGTTGTGCCACTTTGCCCTCCTATTGAGGGAAGGAACGTATTCCCGCATCCACCGTGTCAATATTGCGTTAGCGTATGATTGCGCTCTGGCGAACCGCTTCTTATGGTCGAAGTTTTCTTCGAAACCTAGCGACGGAAAACTCGCTGCGAGTTGACCAAGGATAAATGATTCGGGGTCAACGCCTCTAGATCTAGCGGATCGGAACTAACGGCTGTTATTGGTCTAGCGTTAAGTGATTGCTCAACAAGGCAAAGCGTGGTTCCTAGAACCTTCTCAGTTACTCTCCTGTTGCCTAGGATGTCATACAAAACGCGCTTGACACTCCGAACTAATCGCTCCCAGGAACCACCATGTATACGCTTCGCTACTGTCCCTATATGCATTTACATTTTGGCTCAATTTTATGCATTTATACCCTCCCACATTTGCGTTTATATTTGCTCTGCAACATGTTGAGGCCCTTAAATCATTATATCAGGACTCAAGTGTTGGGACCTTTAATCCGCTATCCCAGTACCACCTCCAGAACCTGTGTAAAGTTCTCCAAACGCAAAAACTTTTTTTCCTCTTAAATCCAATGGAAACTGAACTGCAACTTGTTTTTAAACATTTTTGTGGTTGCAAATGCACCAAATCTCCCTATAACTCTAAAACCTAATCCAAAAACAAAAAAAAATTCAAAAAAAGTAAAAATGAACAAAAAAGATGTATGTAACTAAAACGCAAAGTCAACAAGGACCGTTTTTCGAAAAAATGTCCGGTACCTGACTGTCACGCGTTTTTCCTCCCCCTTTCTAACGTTGTTATGGGGCGTTCTTCTACTGGGTTCTAAAAATTGTCTATTTCCGATCCCCCCACCCGATCCGGTCAGGTTACCTACCTTACTTCGAGTTTACTATCGGGTACCTACGCATTCCAACTCTTGTTTTGAGACTTTAACTTGACCGTTCCAGACTCTAGTTAATCTATTGTAACTAAATCGACGATATCGATTGTATAGTTACCGTAATGAAGCCCCTTTTTTAAAATTTCCAACCACCAACCTCTTTTTTAACCAGCCCCCTACTAACCTCCCCCTTTCTAGCCTCCCACTTAAGCCGAAAAATACCTTAAGTGCGATGGGTGTTTCCCAGCTCTGCTCAAGTAAAAACCTTTCCTCAAAACTGTGGGGTGCCGCTTATTCACTTTTATACTTATCTCTTATAATATAAAGTGGATTTTAACGATACCCATTTGGCTGAACAGTGCACCCTGGTTATCCCCTCCTGTTGCTGTATTGCTCTGATCACCCTACTGGTAGTCTGTTCCCAGTCGGGCCTTCTCTCGTTTTTTTCTGATCCCCGTCCTACGAACCACTTTCCCTTCTGTCTGGTTGCCTCTTCCGGTGAAGTCTTCCAGTGGTTCTCCAAGGTTGCAAGGCTATCTGAAAACCCTTTCAAAGCCCCGAACTCGGGCACCTGCTAAAAACTGGTTGTTCGGATCGAAAAAAACTGTCTTATTGAAAACAGTATGAATATACAAATTTGATTAATACGAAGGTTTGATCCACCTAAACTGAAAATCAAAGCCACTGTCCTTTTTCGATATTTTTGGCAGTTTTTTTCTTCCTATTTCTAATCTTTTCCGTTTTTGTTTCGCTTTTTGTCTTTTGCCTGTTCTTTGTCTCTCTAAAGGCCCCCTCATTCGTTTAGCTAGGCCTCGTATCGGAAAGCGCACCGGGAAGTTTTCTCGAGTTTATTTTAAAAGCTATCACGGTACAACCAGAAGGTGGACACGTTCCAGTTGAACCGTACCACCGGTACTCTATAATGGGGCCCGTTGCCCGGAACTGTGTCAAGTGGGTCTGATGCCGTAGTTTCGATGTCGTAAAAACTCTCAGGAGCGCCATAAAAACACTTTGTAATAGTCGCCTACTTAAGTCGAATATGAGGCTAAGAAAAATAAAACCTATAATCATTGGCTCAAGGGTCAGGGACACTATCTCTTGTAATTTTGTACCTCATTGAATCGGAGCCTATTCGGTTCACTTGCGACATGAGGTTACAAACCGCGTTACAGCTCAGAGAACTTTATCCAAAAAAGCCCCCTCCCGCCACTCTAGAAATAAGAACGCCCCTATGGTCAGGTCTCTATATATCTATAACACGCGAACGCCAATAAAAACAGGTTTATAAGCTTAAGTATAACGTTTGTTTTTATTAGGACAGTGGATCTTTGATCCATTTCAGAATGATCAACCTAAAACTTGCCATATCTCAACATAATCACATTAAAAGCGCTCAAGATAATAGGTTGCGATAATATAATCACATTAAAAGCGCTCAAGATAATAGGTTGCGATAAGCGGTTATGATAATAGTAAAGCAACTCTAGAAAATTTTTTTAGATAAATAAGTTTTGTTCGAGAAGTTTTATTCCTTGGACCATTGGGCAGCTTCGGCTGTCCAACTTCCCAGTCAAGTTTCACTCTCGCCCATTCAATTGCACTTCTATTCTTGACTCTCGATCCTCGCTATCAGGAACAAGACAACTCTACTGAAGACTCTGGTAAAATTGCGAATAGCAATTTTACTCCAGTGATTTCTGTCGACTTTCTCGCAATTTTATCTCGATTTTTCTGACCTAATTTATTTCGTATTTTCAGTTGTCGCGAAAAATGACAGGGTCAATTCGAATTTTCGAAAAATTACTTTTTATCCCATAACAAGGCCTAAGTTCCAGATTTGACCGACTGGGACAACATGGTGTTCTGCCGTTATTTTTTTTCCAGGTGCTGACGAAGCTGTTACTTCTGTCGAAAATGATTAATGGGCAGTATGACATTGAGTGGGAATCCTTCTGCACTTTTGATCCAAATTCACGTTCCGACCCCTTCAGTTTTCCGAAAATCCAACGGGATTTCCAAAAAGGAAATTTTTGGTATGAAACTTGTTGTAGGGCAGTTTTACTGTGGAAACGAGTCGACTTCAGAAATCCCGGCGGGCTCAAAGGACGTATTCTCAATTTAATGTGGAAGTTCTTTTCCTTCTAACACTTGCTCTTGGATATTCTCATGTTTATGTGAACCTTGTCGAGCAAGAAGTTATCTAATGGAACTTTAATCGGACTATATGGGATTTACAATCCCTTTGCTTTGCAAGATTTCACGCTATTATTATATTGTAATTATAATTCAAATTGTTTTGAGGAGCCTATCCAGAAATTTAAAGCTTTCCGTAGATAAACTATATTATATTTGAAGCTGTTTTTCTCTCACATAAGTTCAGTTTCAGTTGATTATGGGTCCTCCCGATCATGTCAATGTACTGGGAGCTCGATCGGCCAAACGCAAGAGTACTCACAACGAAGGTGAACAGGCATATTGCTTTACTGAGTGTTCGCGAAATTATTAATTGTAAAATTTTTTGGTTATTTTTCTAGTGGAACGCCGGAGAAGGTCGAGAATAAATGATTCCATGAAAAATTTAGCAGCTCTTGTCCCATACAATTTTAATTCACCAGGAGGAACCTCAAGTCAGGTAATGGTTGAGATCACTAGTAAGCAAGAAAACCCTAAACTGGATAAGCGAGGTTAATAAAAAACGGGCTTCAATCCGGAAGCAGATAAATGATTACAACAACGAATTGGGCGGTTAAAATTGAAGTGTTAAATTTGAAGTGTTAAATTTCCATCCAAAAATTCTTGAATTAACTAAATTTAAAGGAAACATAAATCACAGCATCACTGCAGCAATTAGTATAATATCAATTGTTTTAGAATCTATGCAAGAGTAATTTGCTAGAGCGAGCAGTGGACTACATCAAGGAGCTGCAGAACCGGGTGTCTCTGGATGACAGATCGCATCTGGTAACTAATCGAAGTTTTTTTTTGTATCGGCCTTACGGACTGCTATTTTTATTAGCAAAGTAAAGTGGATTTACAGTATTTGTCATTGTGTATACCTGACTGAGCAAAAATGTTCATTGATTGCTTAGCTGATTTTTCACACAAGCGGAGCTTGGTTTTTTAAGACCGGTCCATTTAACTGACGGGTACTTTTAAGTACAAATAACTTTGCAAGGTTCGTGAAGCAAGGGAAGTGCAATCGGGTACTAGACTTTTTTCGCATAAATAACTTTGTTCACCTTCTGA